AAGAAAGAGAAGGGAAAAGGGACGAGAAAGAAAAAGAAAAAAAAAAAAAAGAAAAGAAAAAGAAGAAGAATAAACCCGAGCGTAATTCCGCATAAACTGCCGGCTTATACTCATCCGACGATTTTGTGCACTTGTTACAGCCGGATATTACACGATAGAGCAACGCTCGGAAAAGTATCGAATCATTTTCCTCAACACGAATTTGTGGTTGAACACCGCCGACAATCGCATGCTCCATCGTTTCGCTGGCAGCATGATCGACAACGCGCACGATCCGTTCGAGCAGTGGTCCTGGTTTCAGAAGACTCTCGAGACCGCGAGGAGGAAGAAAGAGACGGTAAGATAGACGATTTTATTCATTATGTGTTAGTCGTTTGTTAATGTCGATGTGACGATGTTCGCAGTTACCAGCGATTGCAAAGATTCGAATGTTACGGGGTGTCTCATTTCAATTCGTCGGCATTGTCTTCGCTTCTGTTCACTGTTCATTACTCGGAAAGACGTTTGGCATTCAAGTAATTACATTGAAACTTGGAGGAGGAAACTTATACTGCGAGATTTATAAATTTATAAATTATTAATTAATTCATAAATTTAAGAATTTTCAGTAGTAATTATGTGGACATTCGAATAATTGATAATACGGCCTTTATAGTTTGGCCTTTTCTAAGTGTAGGATAATTGTTTTTTACGGCCTTTATAGTTTGGCCTTTGTTAAGATAATTGTTTTTATAAATATCTTATCTTGATAATACGGCCTTTATAGTTTGGCCTTTTCTAAGTGTAGGATAATTGTTTTTTACGGTCTTTATAGTTTGGCCTTTGTTAAGATAATTGTTTTTATAAATATCTTATCTTGATAATACGGCCTTTATAATTTGGACTTTTCTAAGTGTAGGATAATTGTTTTTTACGGCCTTTATAGTTTGGCCTTTGTTAAGATAATTGTTTTTATAAATATCTTATCTTGATAATACGGCCATTATAGTTTGGCCTTTTCTAAGTGTAGGATAATTGTGTTTTACGGCCTTTATAGTTTGGCCTTTGTTAAGTGTAGGATACTTGTTTTTATAAATATCTTATCTCGTCCTAAATAATTTATTAAAAGAAGGACCAATTCACTTAGCACTCCAACTGTCCTTGATCTTTTTTCTCGATATTCTTAATTAGATCACCATGGAGGATCGGGTAATTTCGAGGTAGTCCTCTTCAGGAGGCGAGAGATTCTCTTCTCTATAATTCGCCCCAGTGATATTAAACCAAGGACCATATCACGCCGTTATCGCGCGGTATCGTAGCCTCGGTTCCCTGGTTGTTCTTGTTTTTTTTTCTTGTCCGCGGGAAACAATATCCGGACAGGGTAGCTTTAAGCTATGTAACATTATTAAAGTCAGCGGGTGAGCGAACTTTTGTTTATTCCCACTACGAGCCAGATTATGTAGCCGGATGGGAGATTGCGTATGAAATTCCATCCTTCGTCGATACTCTCTTCAGGCTCTTCCTATCCCGCTTTCCGACAGGCTTTGCATATTTTAAGGAACGTGAATTTCATCGATTTCTCGCCTGCGAAAAATGAAAATTACATCTCTCTCTCTCTCTCTCTCTCTCTCTCGGTATTCTCATTTTTCTCTTTTCTTCTCGTTGTTTATTTTTAGAAAGGGTGGAACGCTCGAGAGACTTTTACGAAGAAGCAGCGCGTTCTTTGAAGAGCACGAATACCATCATCTTCATTGCGGTTAGAATTAAGTGATACTTCTTTGTCATTTTGTATTTTTCCCACCGTTTTGTTTCGTCCAAAGGAGAAAAGGTGTTGTTTCACGTTATATTTCGAGGAATAATTTCTTTTTTATTAATTTCTTATTAATTTTTATATTATATTATATTAATCATGCATATATTTTTATTTTATATTATATTAATTTTTTTATTAATTGCACTTGCAAACCGCACGAAGAAATTATTCTCCCGCGGAGTGGGAATTATACGAATCTTCTCTTTCTGTCACAAAGTTGAAAGATTACTTTCCCATTGAAAATTGACACCTCTCATTGCAAAAAACTTTCTGTCTCTGAAGAGGTGAAGCCTTCCCGCGAGAACGCATTTTCCCTTCGAGTTTCCGTTCTCCCAAATTCCCTCTCACACGAGCAAATCTCCCTAAACTCAGGTTCGTCGATTCGGATTATGAAATTTCCTTCTACTCTTCGTTTTAGCGTTTCAGGTCGTTCTTTTGACAGAAATCGCCGCGACTGACTGGCGACAGTGAACTTTTAATTGCATTTTCTTCGAGGCAGCCACTTCAACATGGATATAAGAGTAGGGAAATGGTCCTGAAAAATGTTGGCTCTTTAATGATGAACGCTAGAATGAACCGTGACGAACGTTGCTCCGTCATTCGCTCTTTGAACGATCAAACAGTAGGTCTCGAACGAGAGACGGGTCGTTAAAACGAGAAATTTTACCGAACAAACAAAGGTGCTGGCCAAGCTACTGTGCAAGCGCTGCCTCAAACGACGTTATTCGCGTCTTCCTGTTCGTGTCCCCTCTTTGTTTGATTAGGGATCTCGTTCATAAAGGAGACGGCGAATGTGTTGTATCACGTTGATAAAGAACGCGAACGTTCTTACGAATGTTCTGTCTAAGAAGCGTAATGAAGTTGTTTAACATGCGAACTACTTTCGTGAAGATGTAGAGGAACTTTTTATGAATATATCACGTGTCACATGTAACATAAAATAAATTTTGAAATTTTATAAATAGTAACTCTGTTTAGAGTACGACTATTATGATTATATTGGTTGCAAAAGCAACCAATCTGAGCATGTATGTATTTAGAAATTACAAGGTGTTTGTTACAAACATATTACAATATTACAAACATGTTATGACGAATGGAAGTTTAATTCCTTTAAGGTTCAGATGTTTTTTTGATTTTCGGGTAATAAGCGAAAAATGATTTGTAATACGTTCGGCCGTAAAATATAACAGTTTTGATAATAAAATAATCAAGTGATCAATGTACCCTATTGGGGTGAATATCGTGGTCTTACCATAGACTGGACGTTTCTACTTACACGCCAGTCTACACCGAAGAATAATAACTGTGCCATTGACAATGAAAAATTGTTGATAATTTAAATTGACGTAACATCGTAAAAAGTGATTATATAACGATCCACTTGGTTTCTACTTTGATAGTCGTGAGTTTGTTTCTTATTTCAAAGATGACCTTACATCATGGAGAAATTGACGATACTTGGCCGAAAATTGTGAAAATTCAGACGTATGTAGAAATGATTAAGAAATTCCTTTTGTAATTAAATTTAGCATTATTTTGAAGATTGAATGACCTCTTAAAAAACTGTTGTACGATTTTTATTCATTTATTTAGAAATGCTTAAATACTTTTGCGACTGGCTGAACAACATCATGTTTAAAACTCTCGTATATTGCCACTACATAACAATTGACATTAGAATTAACAACCGACTCGTCGGTGTGTCTCTCAATTTTTTAGAGTAGCCTCGCAGATTTAGAAATATATCGCGTTTCCAGAGAATTCGCGAATGATTCTCGTTCGCGTTCTTTGGTCTTTCGATTCCTCGCGCTCTCTAATTTCACCGATACAAATTTTCATTTGGCGTTCGTAGTGTTTAGTGTCGTAGCGTTAAAGGATCAATCCTTCACGCATACCCGCGATGGATCGGGCGCAAACACGGCTCGTGTAACGAACCTGCGAAATTTGAACCGGCGAGCGAGTGAATAGGGGACAACGGACCGGCGAACGGATAGGAAGGGAAAGAAAGAGAGACGGAGAGAGGAATACGGGAAAGAGAATCGGTGGAGGAGGTTCGTCCAAGTGCCGGTAAAGGAAAGGTTTATTGACGAAACGTCAATTCCCGAGGATGAAAATCGTGCAGCGCCGCGCAGTATCAATGCTGATGCCGCTTCGTTTCCTCCATTTTGGTTGCCGTCGCGATAAATTATTTACACGGGACGCAGTTATCGGGATGACAGGCTATCAGTCAATAACAGAACTTCCGACCCAAAGCTTTATAGCCTTGAAAGCGACCGTTGAATCCGCCTTCGCCGCGTAGGGATATGAAGTTCCCCAGGAAATATTAATATTCGATATTGTTCGACAGCTCGATGATCATTCCATCGAGCGTTACACGCGCACGTATGAGAGGATGCCGCGGGGCGATGTACTGTGAGCTGAACACGTCGATGAAATTTACAGGTTATTCCGCGAAGGAAGGAAAAATAGAGACATACAGGGTAATAAATAACGAAAGTTTGCTCTTCAAGTGTTTGTTACACTATCAAAAAGGTCTGAAAGTTTAACGACGGACAACAAATTGTATATTTCATCTTTTGATACATTTTTTCAGTTTATCGTAATATGTTATACTCCTCGAGCCTTTAATAAGTAAATCAATTATTTTGTTATTGATTGTAAGATATAATGTTATATTGATATTTCATTATTTATACGATATTCTAGTGCTGCTGCAATATAAATATATTTTTAATTATAATTGGACATGTTCTAATTTAGTATTTCTATTTGAATTTCCATTTAGAAACAACAAGTTGATAAATAATAAATAGTACAATGAATCAAATTTAAAAATATTACTACACTGTAGTTTCAACTGTTCTAACTATTTTAAACTAATGTTCCTAATGCAACAAATATATAATCAATGCGAGAAAATGTAAATTGTTTCGATCCAGTACCAATACGATTGTCAAAATTATAATATTTATGATAACACACAGAATCTTTCTTAACCAATTCCAGCCGAGTAACAGGTAACGTTGAAGCAACCGGTTAATATCGATCTTTCGTATATGTTCACGTTTCATAAAGTAAGAAAGCCAAAATTTCATTGTTACGAACAATGTCTATCGTTTTACGATCAATGTCTTTAGTTATTATGTTACTTGTGTATATATTTTTAATCAATTGCGTAGCGACGAGAGCAAACAAACTCTTCAATCGCTGTAGGGACGGAGATTACGGAAATTAAAGTGCGAGATTCGTAGAATTATGAAGGTTCTCTGACTGAAATAACGTTTATAATAAAGTTTATTTCGAAGCTTGTTAAATAACGTTAAATTCCTTTCTGTCCGTTTCTTCGCTCCATCGATATTGAAAATTGCAAATTTATGACTACCCGTGACCGATATTTCGGAGAAACAATTTTTAAAAGCTTTTTCAATAACAAGTTTCCACGTTGAATTCTCCAACTCGTATCTCGCAATATCCTCTGTTCTGAATTGCTTCTTTTGATCTCGTAAGCTAATATTCCTTCGTGTTTTCGAATTCTCACACAA